ATCAGTCTGTTCACTTTGATACATAATTACTTTACAATGCAAAATACAGCTAACCGCTTCTTTTCTCTATTTTAACTCTTCCCCCCCTTCCCCAGCTCATTGTTCACGTTGGAGTTTCTGGCATGGCTACAATGGTGACACTAGAAAAATGTGGTCACAACAAAGGATACCTTGGCCTGGATGTTCGCCAATTTTGCCCAGATACAGAGTGTTGTGTGGATGGAGGCCCAGAATGCTTACACTCTGTTATAGACATTGATACGGTTTGCAAGAAAGCAACAGAAGCTGAATTGGATGTTCAGTTTACAGTGTCGACAGATGCGGGCAGGTATGAGTTGAATTCCAGGACCTCGGGTGTGGAAGTTTTAAAAAATACAAAACCATCTACTTACCCATGATATACTTGTCCTGATACAAAAAAAAAAAAAGGATTTGAACCAAAACCGTATTTAACCATGCTAAGAAGCGATACCACAATGTCACACAGTGAAATGGGGGCAGTACTCATCTCTCTCACACACACACACACACACACACACACACACACACACACTCCATTCGCATCCAAGATGGCAGGGGCGACTGTGTTGGTTTTAAATGTATTGTATTCATTTTAATTTTTTTTTTGCCCCTGTGAAAATGGCGTTTGGGGATGACAGGCCCTCTTAATGAAGCCTGCCCTCCAATACAGGAGATTGAGCATAGCATTGTGCTGGAACTTCTGTGCATCTAAGACAGGAGTCTCTGTGAGTAATTAGCCATGGTCCCGGGCCCCCTCAGAAGAGTGGATGGGGACGGATCATGTAGGGGGGAGGAGCAGGCTGCTTAGAAGTGATCAGATCACTTGTACAAAATGGCTCCCCCTGCTCTACATTTAGCCCTGCTGCTTGCCTGCAGCAGGGCTAAATGTAGAAACAAAAAAACAAAACCTGCCTGAAACTGCATGTCACGGGCGTCAGCTATATGAATGTCACACCCCCTGTAGCTATGCAAACTCTACCACATAAATTGACCATCCTTGTGACCTAACTTTTTCTTCTTTTTTTTTTTTTTTTTTT